CACTCTGCAACCCTCATTGCGTACTCCTACGATAAACATAATGCCCTAAAATATAATACTTTTAAACTATTCTCTCCCCCATAGACTTCATAGTCTTCTTTTGTGCAATTTTCAACTACACAAACATAAAACTAATGTTAAATTCACGTGTATACCGAGACAATATGACTCTATCCCTCTGCTTGTTTTTCATTTATCTTAAGTTGACCAGGACAGATGATTCTAAATTTGTTGTTGTTGTCATTATGTTGTTATTAGGTGTGAGTTGAGTATGACTCATAGCAACCCTGTGAACATTAGATCTGAAATTTTCTCTATCCTGTCATCCTCATCATCTCTGGCACACTACAGCCCATTATTATAGAAACTGTCAATTCATCTTGTTGAGGATCTTCTCTTCATGGACCCTCCACTTTTCTGAGCATGATGTCTTTCTCCAAGGACTGGCATCTCTTAACAACATACCCAAAATACGTAAAATGAAGTTTCACCATCCTTCCCATTAAGGAGCAGCCTGGTTGCAGTCTTTCTAAAACAGCTGTTCATTCTTTTGGTATTCCATGGGATATACTGTGCTCCTCTCTAGCACCACAATTCAAAGGCAATGATTTTTCTTTTGTCATCCTTATTCATGGTCCAACTCTTAGATGCATAGCAAGTAACAGAAAAGACTGTGACTTGGCTCAGGTGCACTTTAGTCTTTAAACTGACACCCTTGCTCTCCAGCACTTTGGAAAGGTTCTTGACTACAGACTTTTCCAACACATCTTTTAATTTTGTGACTGTTGCTACCAAAGCTATTTATTGTGGAGTAAATTACTCCAAGTAAATAATTGGCACTCTCTGTCTTTTCTCCATCATGATGTGACCTATTGTCCCAGAGGTGAGAAGTTTTGTGTTTCTTGATGTTGAGATGCAATCCATACTGTAGTCCTTGATCTTTTGCAGGAAGCACTTCAGGTACTGCTCACTTTCAGCAAGCAAGATTGTGTTATCCGTGTAATGTAGGTTGTTGAATCTTCCTGATTCTGATATATTCTTCTTCATAAAGTCCAGTTTCTTCAATGATTTGTTTAGCATAAAGATTAAATAGACATGGAGAGAGTATACAGCCTTCTTACAGACTTTTATTGATTTTAAATCATGTGTATTCCCTTCCTCTGTTTGGACAACAGGTTCCTGGTCTAGGTCTGGGCTTTGTGTAAGCACAATTAAGATGTTGCTGTTGTTGTTAAGTATTCTGGAAAGTTGAATACTGTGGAGTCAGAATCGACCCTTAGCTGGTGGGTTTTCAGAGGCAGTTAATCACATGGGAGAAGATTGTCCATCTTTTTCCTATAGAGCAGCTTCAGGATTGCAGTGTAGCTTCTTACCACTAGGCCACCAGAGTGCCCTAATTGAACTAATCTTCCCATTTTTTTCCTTATAAACCTCACTTTATGGATTAAATTGTGTCTCCTCCTCTTACAAGGAATTGAATTGTGTACCTCCTCCTAAAAAACTATGGAAGCCCTAGTCTCTATATGACCCTATTTGTAAATAGAGGGTATTTTTGTTAATGAGGTCATAGTAGAGAAGGGTAGAACATGAATCTAATCACTTCTCAGAGATGTCTTATAAAATGAAAATAACCAAAAAGACACAGAAAGAGGGTGAGATCACATAATATAGATGCATCTAATCACAGCAAAGGAACACTAAAGAATTATGGGAGCCAAAAGAAACAAGGAGAGGCCTACAGAAGGATCTGATACTGTCAAAACCCTGATCTAGCCCTTCTGGCTGGCCTTCGTAACTGTGAGAAAATAGATTTCTGTCCTTTAAAGCCACTCATTTGATTTTGTTTTTTTTTTAATTAGAGCTGTTGTTGTTGTTATGTGAGACCCTATGTACAACCGCCCTAAACCCTGCTCTATCCCTTGCCAATCTTATTGTCTCTGACACGCCTATGCCCATTACCCCAGTGATGGAATCAATCCAGCTCATTGAGGGTCTTCCTCGATTATGCTGTCCTTCCACCGTCCCAAGCAAGACGTCCCTCTCCAAGGACTGATCTTGCCTTGCAACATGTCCAAAGTATGCCAAACGGAGCTACTCTTCTCCAGCACCACTGCTCAAAGGCATCAATTCTCCTTCTATCATCCCTACTCATTGCCCAGCTTTCCAATACATTGCAAATAACTGCAAAGACCATGGCCTGTATCAGGCACACCTTAGTCTCCAGACTGATATCATTGCTCCTCAGTACCTTGGAGAGGTCTCTAACAGCAAGACTTTTCCAATGTAATATGTCTTTTAATTTCTTGGCTGCTAGCACCAAGAGTGCAGCCAAGCAAACTAAAGCTGTTAACAATATCAATCTCTTCATCAACTTATAGTTGATATAACTTATATATGATGCTGCCAATCGGCCCAGTGGTGAGAAACTTTGTTTTCTTGATGTTGAGCTTCAATCCATATTGAAGGTTGCAGTCCTTGACCTTCTGCAGCAAGCGCTCCTGGTCCTCCTCAGTTTCAGCAAGCAGGGTTGTGTCATCTGCATAACGCAGATTGTGGATGAGTCTT